GTCGATGTCACTGAACTGTGCATGTACAAATTTTTGAAATGGTGTATCTTTGGCTATGTATATTTTCACCAAAAAAAAAAAAAGTCGAGAAGGGAGAGGGTTGACATGTCGTGGGGTTGTTAACCAATGTCATAAAACAATATGTGTACTACTGTTTAATGAGAAACTATTAGTTCTGTAAACTTTCACCTGAAGTACAATTAAAAAAAAAAAAAAAAAGAGGATAACGCTCATTCCTGTCTTCAAGCAATGTGATATAATTAGGATGATATGACTAAATTAAGCTCTAGCATCTTATCTCTTTCTAGTTCTTCATATTTCCTGTACTCAATTTCGAATTTTATCTAAATGTAAAACTAGAAAAACTGAAATCTGGAATGCTTGCTGCAACAATCACACATTTTGAAAAGTAAGACTCATGTAAGCACAGTGACAAGGTTAGCTGGGAACACAAGCTTCACTTCTCCACAGATGCTTCGTGAATTTCAAAGCACTGAAAAGCTACGGCATGTACTCAGCAGAACAGAGGAAAACACTGACACTTCATTCACAATTGTAGCTTTCCCCAAACTTTAAACGGAGCATGTGTCTTACTAAGAATGGACTTGAAGATACTAGCCAATTCAGTTATTTGTGAACAAGAACAAAAAGATGACACTGTAAGATATTACTGGGCAGTAAGACTTTACTGTTGAGGCCTGTTGCCCATTGTTGTGTGTGCTCACTAAAACCTTATACTAAGAACTAAGAGTTCAAAGGGAGGCATCCAAAATAATGGACTTTAAGTTTATTTTGTATGAAAATAGCCCCTTAATCTTGGTATGTGTGAGTACCATGCATTCGTACGTTCCACAAACATTTCTTGAGCGTATTCTTCTCTGGATCAGACACTGATACTAAGATGAGAAATATAAATAGGTTTCAAAACAAAAACTTCTTGTGACTCAACCATTTAGTCTAGAATGTTAAAAGTTATAAAACCACCACTAATAGGCTGAAGCTGATGTTTCCTACTAAGATAAAAAAAGACTGAAGAAAAGGAGCTGAACAGCACCTTGAGCCTCTGAAACTGCTGCTGTCCCTGCACTGGTGCAACTGGTGGGGCGGGATGAGCATGACTCTGGACCACCTGGCC